GACTTGTAGATTATACTTATACGGAACTACTAATATCACAGTTTTACTTTTCCTTTTATCACTTTTACTTTTCTTATTAACATTTGGAAGAAATATGGTGGACTGGGCCCATAACCTAATGTATTTTTTATTAAAAGAATAAAAAGAAGTTTTCTCTGTTTTGCTGTCGCACGGATGGGCCGGCTCGAACCGGGGTGGTACCACGACCTCACAGAAAACCAGCGTGAAGTAGAGGTTTACCTCTGCGTTTCGCTTGGTGAGTGCAGGTGGCCGGAGGCACTTTTTACTGGAAATGAGGCATTCCATCTTAGTCCTCACGGGTGACAACGCATCTACATATTGATTTGTAATAGAGGATAGATATAGATGTCTATGGGCCACAGCAACCACTTACCATCAGGTGGACTGTGTGCTCGTTTGTCACCCTTATCCTATAAAAAAAATAACACGCAGTCAAATCATAGATAAGTAATTTCTATGCAGTACTACCACAAAGAAAGAAAAATTGTTGTCTCTGTAATGAGTAAAGTATTATTTTATTATTTCAACATTTCATTTATCAAAAACCACACATTTAATCAATGTATACAAGTTTTTCCGGATTTCATTCAACATCTTCGTTTCGAGCGCTTTACAGCATCTATGGTAATTGGGTGTCTGAGGTACTACAGGGTAGTGTAATTAGGTTTTTTTTGTAATATAATACAGCACTACACATTCAGTATAGGGTAAATACAGTTCGACCAACCATAACATGTACCAGTCACAATCACACATTGGTGTAACGTGAAGGACATAATTACATGATAAAATCAAAGTATGCAAAGTAACAGCAACGCAAGTCATCTCAATATAACACAGGACAGCCTCTCAGTAACACCACCTTCCTTGCTTACACTAGAAGAACTACTTTACGAACCGAACCACATCACTTATTTAGGCAGAATCTCAGTGTGGAGGTAATGTTTTAGCCCAACGGGCATAATAACGACACTAGACTCGTCGATTTAACGACTCATCCCTCTTAGTCGACTGTGCGATACTTTATACTATATAATAAACCTAGCAAGCTAACAGCATAGCAAAGTGGCGAAGCAATCAGCTTTGTAGCGGTTTCTAACGGATGCCGTTGAGCAATCACTTTCAAAATAGGAGGTTCAGATGCCTGGGTGATCAGTAATCGATTGCTGAAAACAGAATTTGAAAATTCGAAACCGTTCTCGAGATAATCGTGGGACAGACGGACAGACGGACAGACAGACAGACATCGTGAAATCAATAAGTGACTTCGCAAGCTTCGCCACTTAATAAACCTAGCAAGCTAACAGCATAGCAAAGTGGCGAAGCAATCAGCTTTGTAGCGGTTTCTAACGGTTGCCGTTGAGCAATCAGTTTCAAAATAGGAGGATCAGATGCCTGGGTGATCAGTAATCGATTGCTGAGAACAGAATTTGAAAATTCAAAACCGTTCGCGAGATAATCGTGGGACAGACGGCCAGACGGACAGACGGACAGACAAACTATAAATACACTATTAATTTAGAAACGATTCCTTGTATTTTAGTGAAAAAATATGCACTTATAATAACATCGCAGAAAATAACTTTTTTATTATAGACAATATAAAAAAAATCTAAAAATACACTTTGATGCGTCTTTTTTTACTGATCAAGTGGTTATAAAATCGCAAAATAGTGTATTTTGACTTACGATGTTCTTCGATTCATGTGTCGAATTCTTTGTTACACTATATCATAAACTTAAGGCACATTGCACTTGACCAAGTAAATATATTTTTACATCGTCATTGTCAGCACAAAAAAAACAAACAAAATACACACAAATAAATAACAAATACAAAATAAGTTTGAACAAAGCTTTCAGGGATCTGCGGTAATTGCAAAAGTTTTTTCCTCTTTATTTCGTATAAAATAGTAGATCAGTACAAGGAATAGAATAAACCTAAATATTATTATATTTATAACTACGCAACCAATCACATTATCCAAGAGTAAACCAAAATATAACTGAAACATTTATAAGTTGAGAGCTTTTGATATTTCTCTTCGTCATTTATCTAGTAGGTTTCACATGAGTAATACGGTTTCTTTACTCATGTGTAGGTATTTTTTTCGAAGCTTTTTTCTCGACATTTAATTATATAAGCCTGAAATATATAAACCAAAATATGAGTCATTTGTCGAAGACATCTTTGAGTTTAAATTGACATTACAAACGTGGTAGAGCCACGCTGTAGCTATATTATGGTTGTAGCACGAATAGGCCGACCAAGTAGGACTACGCTCTCACAGAATACCAGCATAAAAATGAAGCTTAATGCTGCTGTGTTTCGTAAGGTGAGTAAAAAGGACCGAGACCCTTTTTACTGGAAACGAGGCATTCCATCTTAGTCCTCACGGGTGGCAACGTATCTGCATTTTGATTCCTAATACGAGGGTAAATGTAGATCTCTATTAGCCATATCATCCACTTACCATCAGGTGGATAGTGCGCTCGTTTATCACCCATATGCTATTAAAAAAATCATTACGTTTAATAAAGAAGGAAAGTAACAACGCATACATATCCTACGGCTGGGTATAGGCCTTCTTATTTCAAAGAGCGTTCTAGGGCAAGGATATGTCTGCCGCGCTACCCCAATGTGTTGGCGGACTTCACAACATGTATCCAATTGTTTTAATTTCTTAGACATACAGGTTTCCTCACGTTTTCCTACACCACCATGAAGTGTTAAATGAGCACTCAAAATTGAAATCAACAATTTCATTGGTGTTGGTGGGAATCGAATCCGAGTGGTTCCGACTGTGAAACTAAGGCGAACGCTTAGTAATACAGCAGAATAAATAATAGTTAAAAGAACAGAAGAATCACTCTCTGATAGCAAACTTGCGAGTTTAAACTTAGTGGCTAGTGCTCATAATACTTTGCACGCCTCGGAAATGAACTACGTGAAATTAGACTACCGACTTCGGCGAAAAAAAAATATGTGGCGCGCGTATTAGATCATAATGCATCTTACGTCCGTGTGAGAGTGTCTGTATCACTTATCACGTTATACGCCTTTGTTAAGACCGCTTCTAATGTTGGGTTAGGTGTTGTGAGAAAACAAATTAAATCCTTTGATATTAGTTGATATATAGTAGAATACACCGAGGTAAAAGGTAAATACTAATACATTGCATACAATGTATTAGTATTTTTCTTTATTTTGTTAAAAAAAACGTTACCCCCACACTAGGCTTTTCTCCTGTATCGTGGAGGCAGTTAACAAACATAAATTGCAGAAGTACAAACCTCTAGACCCGAAATAATTATTTGTAGACCATACAAATACTTGTACCGTTCGGAATTCAAACCCGCGGCCCCAGCGTTGCAACTCATTGCTAAGTCACTGCGCCACGGAGCCATCAATTTGCTGATACTAAAATCTTTATTGTTCAATGTGAGGAAGGTGCAATCTTTATTGTTCAATGTGAGGAAGGTAACATGCAACATCGAGGAAAATTAAGATTATAACAACGTGAACGTCTTTGAAACTCAGACAATTTACCTACCATTTTAACCGACTTCAAAAAAGGAGGAGGTACTCAATTCGACTGTTTTTTTGTGTTACCTCAGAACTTTTTTCTAGGTGAATCGCTTTTGATAATTCTATTTTTATTTGAAAGCTGGTGCTTATAATTTATATATACCATATATAATTGATCAAGATCCGACCAGTAGTTTTGGAATTATCCTTAATAATGCGTATTAGTATTGAAGTCGGTTATACAAAATTTTTAATATCATAGTTTTCTCTCTTCCTCTCTTTTTAAAAAACTTTACCTCACACTAGGATTTTCTCCTGTATGTAGGGACAGTTTACATACATAGAACATACCCAGAACAATTATTTGTAGGCCATACAAGTACTTGTTCCGTCCGGGATTCGAACCCGCCGCCCTTAGCGCTGCAAATCATTACTAAGCCACTGCGCCACGGAGCCGTCACTTGTCTGTTTCACTTTTTTTGCTATTTACAAACATGCGACACGCAACTTCATTATTAATGAGAGTGACAATGAGAAGTGTTGCTACTTTCAATCTTTCTTTTATCGACCAAGTATTAAAGTAGTAAATTATGCTGATCTTGCATTAATAGTCAGTCACTAGTACTGGGAGGTCTACTTACACTGGACATATTTTTAAGGTCATTGGCATTATACGCGAAAAACTCGACAACTGAGAAGCTGTGGTCGGTTCACTAATCAAATAATAAATCTGTAACTATGGCGTCAGTAACTAAGTACCTACCTAATAATCTAGATCTACTTATAAATAATAATATATTACTTTTCGGTATCCTTCGTAACAGTAAAGAATGAAATGTCGACATTCCCATTATTATTTAAGCACCCGTATGCTGTGCAGTACCTTTTGGCTTTTTGAGAGGCCATACTTAAATAAAAACTCAAAAATAAATATCAAAAGTACAAAAGTGCCTAAATACTTATTAGAGAAAAATATTTTTTATGTTAACGTAAGGCACACGTCAGCTCGAGCGCGCGCGTGATAACCGCGCAGTGTAGGTATATTTTTATGCCTAAAGCGCGAAGTGTGACAGGCCTGGCATTTTCTTCAGTCGGCAGTCCTTAAACTTAATAAAAAATGGTTAACTAGCTGCTGTTTTTTTTTTTTAACAATTTTCCTTTAATATGCATATGCAGTAAGGAACAAAGACATTGAAGCATTTGTACTGAAAAAATTAAACGTAAAATAATCAATTACATATTTTTAAAATTAATTAATGACGTCACAGGACAATTGAAAAAAAAATCTTCTTTAACCCAACTAGACCCTTAAGATGTAAATTCGAATTTTATTTTGGTTACCGAAATTTAATAACCTACCGAGGTGATGCCATAAATTTATAATTTACTGGATTCGGAATGAAACACATGATTAACAAATTCAAATTATACTGATAAATTGTTTTTACAGATCCTGTAAACAGTGTACGCATCCTAGAACTACGCGTACCTACCCACGTTGCAGAAGAAGGTGAAGCGATATTAGGGTGCCAGTATGACATGGAAGGCGATGTACTGTATTCAGTCAAGTGGTATAAAGATGGAAGGGAATTCTACCGCTACATACCAAACAGTAAACACCCCATCAGTCACTTTGCTACACCAGGAGTTATGGTTGATGTATGTAGGTTGGAACTCATTTTAATTACTAATTATTTTTTTTTAGATAAAATAGCTTTCGCGCATTAAAAAATTTAAACTAATAACCGTGTGGTCGCGGTGATAGAATATCCACTACCCTATATCGTGCCGAGGGTGCAGTAAGAGGCAACAGAGGGAAATGAAACTAGAGATGGGCAACAGCATCTTCCTGATAACAACTCAAAATAATGAAAAACTTTGGTTGCCAAAACGATTGCCAAACGTGGCAACTATGGCATAATCCCTCCATAAGGCAATCTTAACGTGGTAGAGCCATGCTGCAGCTATATTAATTCTATAGTTCTAGCACAAATGGGTTGGCTCGACCGGGGAAGGACCACACTCTCACAGGATGCCAGCGTAAAATAGCAGATAAGGGTGATTATTATATTTTTTTTTTAAATTAGAGTTTAGTACGCGAAGAAATTGTGATTTATAAGGCTCGGCGATAATACCACATACCTTGTGGTTTAGTAGCCAAGTACTGGATTGTAATATATTAAAAACTCTTTTCTATAAGATATTTTCCTTTACCACGCAGCACTTTGTAAATCTACACTTTAAGCTACAGTTTAATAATTTCATTGGGTGCCGTTGGGAAACTAACTTGGTTTAGGTACTTGGCTTAAAAAACTTAACATTTCGTAGTTTGCAAGTAATAAAAAATAATTATTATGGCTCCCACTATTCATTAACTCTCAAGGTGATAAGTTATCAAAATTCTGATTTGCATGTTTTCTTTACATGTCATACATCAATTTTCTAAGCGTGTCAAAAAATATCACAAAAACCTCAAAATTCGTTCAAAGTTGGGCATTTTACGACATCAATCAAGAAATTTATAATTCAAAAACTAACTTCAGATCACTGTGAACAACTTTTGTTTCATTACCATATATGCACAAAATACAGGAAATTGGATAAATTCTGTTTGTTCCGATTAATGTAAAACGCCTGGAGAGATTTAGAAGTATTATGGTAAAAAACCTTCTATCGCTTTCCTACAAGAACAATTAGTAACAATGAGTATTTATATGGAGTATTATTTACACTTATAAGCAATGAATTTAATACCAAAACAGTTAAAAACAGTTACTTGTAAAACATTCTCAAGTAATAGTCCCAAGGCATTTAATGAGTGGGTGACAGTGGGGCTCCATAAGAGCAGACGAAGATTATATGAACTTTACCACGAAAGATATATTAATATACTCATAATAATAATACATTAATTACTGTACTGGTTTAAATTTAAAGAATAATGTCAACTTTTTTTTATTAATGTTGCGTTCTAATTTTGATTTATGCACAAGCGTATCTTATTGTTTCATGTTAGTTTTTATTACTCCATAGTGCAAGTCTTTTTAAGTTACAGAAAAATATATTGAACATTCGCAGGTCAGGCGATCATCAAACACGGTGGTGACATTGATTCATTTAAGTCGCGACTCCTCCGGCCTTTACCGTTGCGAAGTGTCCGGTGAAGCGCCACACTTCGCCACGGTCTATGATGAGAAATACATCACAGTACACTGTAAGTAAGAGATTTTAGTCCAGATCTATTTATGTTCATGTGTTTATTTCAATATATTAAACAATAAAATACTAAAATAAAAAAATTGCTTGTTTGTGAACGCTGAAATTTGAGGCAGGGATAGGCAACAAAATGAATGCCTTGTGCCGACACTATTTTCTGCCGACTTCCAAAAAGGAGACGGTACTCAATTTGACTGTATGTTTTTTTTATGTGTGTTACCTCATAACTTTGTACTGGGTGAACTGATTTCAATGATTCTTTTTTTCATATGAAAGCTGATAGTTCTCGTGTGGTCCCATATGAATTTTATCAAGGTCAGACCAATATTTTTTGAGTTATTCTTAAATAACTTATATTGAAGTCGGTTGTACAAAATTTTTAATTTTAAATTATAATTGCATAAGGAAAGATGCATTTCCAGTACTGTATAACCTTTTTAAGGGATATTAAATATCGCCATTTGGCCGTTAATTGAAATTTGTTTGTTTTCCGACGAAAGGATCCAAAAAAGAAACATTTATTTGTACGTTGTTTAACGGTGCATCCAAACAAATAAATTTAATTAATTAATACGTCTTAACAAGTAAAATATATTCTAATTTAAAAATATAAAACATTTATTAAATTTACTAATTTAAACTATTATTACGCGTCTCCGAATCATACCGATTTCCGTGAACATCGATTAGCGGATCCGTGAATTAAAAATTTAAGGATTAATTTTAATTTTAAGGTTACGTCTAATAATAGTTTAAATTTATAAATGTTTGATTTTTATTTTAAAATTATAATTATTTCTAAGGGTGTATTCAGATGCACCATTACAGTTGTACGAATATAGGTATCGCATCCAAAATCCGAAGTACTTATATTGTACGAGGAGGGTCTTTTAAGTTATAAAAATCTCACGGTAGAGAACAATGGTGTTCTGTGGCCACAGTTTTGTCAATTTTTTAGGTCATTCCTAAACTGAAAAATACACATAAATAAAAATCAAATCACAAAATATGCCATTGTAAAAAATAAAAAGCAAATGGGTAATATAAATTTTGCTTTATATTTTTAGCAGGCGCCAGAGTAGTAATTTTTATTAACATTTTGTTTTAATATGCCTTTCTTTTAAAGATTAGATCATACTCACCAAGCTAGACAGGCACAAGGTTTGTTTGATATTCCTGAATACATAAATATTTGTTTTCTAATATAACCTTGGTATTATTTTTATTACTAGTGGTCGCCTAATGGTCGAAATTTGAGCGTAACTCAAAAAATTTTTAGGTTTGCATAGATATTAAGCTGTATTTCAGCTGTATTTCACTTTCAACTGCACATTATTATATAAAATACAGATATACACAAAACGGTTTTTTGCTTTGACATATAACTCCACACACTATTGTGGCAGGAACATTTGAAATCTTACAAAATTCACAGCTTTTTGTTGGCAACATTTTTTTTTGTTGACAATCTTTACTCTGCGCAACTGTTTGACCACAGATTATTGATTGATTGATATTGGCCTTAAAGTAATAACATACATATGCTTTTACTTATTCTAAGACAAGGGCAGCATAAACTAATCAACAAGAACATAATTTTTCTAAGCTAGTTTGACAAATATGTGCAACGAACTTTTACAAGTTTGTTGATTATGTATTTGAGATTGGCAGTTTGCACTTAAACAATGTATATTTTTTAAATGTTAATTAAATTTGTAACAAATATTATATATAAATTTTAACTTTCTGCATACCTTCTCCGCATAAACTTTAAGTAGATATGCCAAATCGCACACTCCTTCGCGCGCGCATTAATGTTTTAAAAGGGTTACAAAGTTTTCCTTTTACACATTAATATATAAGATATCTTGTGTTCAGTATTTTAATAGTTAATAAGACCTCAAAATGTCTACTCAATCTTAGCAAATCGCATTGATAATAAAATAACTATTTGCGAGTAACTTTTTTATTTATTTATCTATACGTATGTCAACAACTTACTTAACGCCTTCTGAAAAGTGTTTGCAAAATATTTACTAACCTTTAGCAGCTTAAGAAATTTAAACATGGAATCTTCCTGAGTGGATTTTTAACATTTCAGTGCTCCCAGAAAGAGGACCTCAGCTGACAGGATTACAAGAAAAATACAATATAGGAGACCGGGTTAGAGCCAACTGCACATCACCAGGTTCACGGCCTGAGGCTCAAATAAAATGGCTCATTAATAATAGAGTGGCACCAAAAAATCATGTCCGGGGCCCCTGGTACAGAACATCGTTACGACCCGACGCAATCGAAACGATATTAGAACTTAACTTTGTCGTGGGTTCAAATCACTTTAGACTAAATACTATGGATCTGAAAGTAAGTTCTGCGTATCTACGTATATAAAATATATATTATAATACATAAAATTCAATCATATTAAAAATCTACCACTGAACATCTCCCCTATAGATTCGGTTAACAACCCGCCTGCCTATCTATGGCAAATATCATAATCTGTGAAGAAAAGAAATAAATTTATATTATAATTTGTCTTTCAATATTACAGTGCCAAGCAACGATAGCTCCATTATACCAGCAGGAGACAGAACACAGGGTGTTGCGGTATGAAATCCCTGAGTTTAATTCAGATACAGAGGAACCAAACCTAAAAGAACAGCCAACCCCAACTTTTCCCGATTTCGGCGACACAAGCCATTTGCAATTCGATGATGATGAAGGTTAGTATACTTAAAGAATATATTACATAATAGAATAAAATTTCTTTAGAAAATTTTCATTCAATTTATTTAAATATAAATAATATAAGACAAATAACTACTTCTCAAGGTGTTAGGAGTTTTTTTCCGCCTGGGAGTCCGCCTGGGTAGCTTATTATGCCGTTAATCTATTTATGCCGCTAGGCAGCAGTGCGTGCACTCTGTCTGAAGTGTAATGAGAGCCAGTGTAATTACAGACTGGATTCATTCCATCTTAGTCATCAGAGGTGACAGCGCTTCTATAGCTGTCTGCAGCTGACTCGGCTGCAGTTGTCTGCAGCTGACTTTAAACAAAGACGGCTACAGATGCGTGGCGTAATCGGAAAACTTAATTTAATCTATAATATAAAAATGAATTGCTGAATGTGTTGCTAAGTGCAAATCTCGAGAGCAGCTGAACCGATTTCGCTAATTCCTTTTTTATAATAGTCCTTGAAGTACGAAGATGGTTCTTACGGAGAGAAAAATTTAAAAAATTGCCTGTAAAAGACTAAAAACAACACTTTTCTATATTCCCATACAAAAGATTCGTAATAATAAATTTCAATTTAAACTTTATTACCATACCATAAAGTTTAAGTGTAGTGGAGGGGTTCCGGGAAGGCAAAACAATTGAGTGACGTTAGTCTCGTATAAATATTATATCATATAAATATTTGTCAATATTTATACGATGGTGACATTGCGGTACGAAGTTCGCCGGGTCAGCTAGTATTACAAAAAAAAAAAACTACAACATTAGCAGTAATCAATATATTTTTCAATATAATTAAACTTTGGTTATAACATTTCAAAATTAAAATAATCTTTTATTTTTCACTAATCATCATCGTCATCATTACAGCCCTTCACAAGTCCACTGCTGAACATAGGCCTCCCCCAAGAAATGCCACAAAGCACGGTCCTGAGCCACCTGCATCCATCGACTTCCTGCATATCTTACCAGGTCGTCACTCCATCTAGTGGGGGGACGCCCAACACTTCGCCTGCCGGTACGAGGCTGCCACTTAAGAACCTTTCTTCCCCATCGGTTGTCGGTTCTTCGAGCTATATGGCCGTCCCATTGCCACTTGAGCTAACTAATCCTTTGGGCTATGTCGGTCACTCTGGTTCTACTGCGGATATCCTCATTTCTGAGTTTATCACGCAGAGAAACTCCGAGCATAGCCCTCTCCATAGCTCGCTGAGCGACCTTGAGCTTCCTCATCCGGCAAGCAGTGAAGGACCACGTCTCAGTCCCATATGTCATCACTGGCAACACGCACTGGTTGTACAGTCTCGTTTTCAAGTTTTGAGGTATACCTGACGAGAAGATGTGCCGTAATTTCCCGAACGCTGCCCAACCGAGTTGATCCGTCGATTGACCTCTCGGTCGAAGTTGGACTTACCTAGTCGGACTATTTGTCCCAGGTAAACATACTCGTCAACAACTTCGAGCTTAGTGCTCCCAACAACTACCGGCATATGTGTGACATGGACATTAAACATGATCTTTGTTTTGTCCATGTTCATCTTAAGACCTATCCGTTGGGAAACACTATTGAGGTCATTGAGCACAGTGCTTAGGTCCTCCAGCGATTCTGCCATAAGGACTATATCGTCGGCAAATCGAAGGTGAGTGATGTACTCGCCATTGATGTTGATACCGTATCCTTTCCAGTCCAGAAGCTTGAAAACGTCTTCCAATGCAGCGGTGAAGAGTTTCGGGGATATGACGTTACCCTGTCTTACACCTCTCTGCAATTGGATAGGTTTCGTACTCTGGTCCTGTACTCGGATAGCCATCGTAGCCCTACTGTACAAGCGCTTCAGCACTTCGATATACCGACAGTCCACTTGGCACCGCTGAAGGGACTGCAGCACCGCCCAAATTTCGACGGAATCAAAGACTTTCTTATATTCCACATACGCCAGACATAGTGGCAAATTGTACTCCTCTGACTTTTGTACAATTTGCCTAAGGGTATGTATGTGGTCTATGGTGCTAAAACCTTTTCGGAAACCGGCTTGTTCGGGAGGCTGGAAGTCGTCAAGTCTGCGCGCGAGACGATTCGTAATGACTCTCGACTTTCACTAATCACCTTCTATTAAATATAAAAAAAAAACACAAAAAGCTTGCTGTCCGTAATCACCCGGTGCATATCGAGTAAATATGTCCGTATTTATTGGGGTAATTGCGAATCCTCTGGGGTAATTACGAATGATCTATTATCCTCTACATCTATTTTATTCCTTACGAAATCAGTATAAAAAGGAAAAGAAGAAAAAGGAAAAAAGGAAGTTGTACAACCAGAGGAGTACCACAACATTTTTAACAATTATAGGACAGTTTATACGAGTTATAGTTAATTTAGTATAGAGTTTTAGAGCCGCGAAGAGGGCTGACCTATTAGAAACAACTGCGTCTGTAATTACCCGGTGTCCGCAATTATCCCACCCTCCCCTAAGTTCGTTTTTTAGTTTTATAAAATTGGCAAAACTGATAAATCAGAATCACGCATATTCATCAAACATAATAGTAATAGTATTCATAATACCTCCTAGATATTAAGCGCCATCCTTTTCTGATCTTTCCCATAAATGTCTCTTATGAAACCCAGAATGAAATTGGGCAATAAATGCCCTTGGACCGTCATCATACGGCACAATAATGTCATTAATACAGAGCACTGACAATACCGCTATACTGCAAGCCAGCGATTCATTGCTCTGTGGTCAATAATCATTTCCAAAATTTGTTTCAGATCAAGCGGCGACTGCATCACAATTAAACTTTCACATATTATTATTATTAATTACCTATCTACAGCTGACTACGTGATGGCATTTTCTCAAATTAATGCTCCAAGCCTGCCCAAAGCATTATATGCATTTCCTTTACTATTAGTTATACTATTAATATATAATTTAAGTAAAGATAGCACTACCAGTCATTTCTACAACATTTTATAGAAATTACTTTTAAAATATACTCAGAAAGTTTTACGCAATTAATAAAAATATTATAGTTTAGGTTTTTTTTTAATAAATCCTTTCATAGAACTCTTCAGCAGTATCTGTACAAAGTTTTAAACTGAAACCCCTAGGGATCAAAATCTTTCCTGCACTTCTCGAGCGCTTCACTTAAGTACCTAAGCATTGGATAATTTTGAAACAGACAAACTGTTGACTGACGCTTCATTTCCGAATCATTTTGATAAATCCAAGATTCATTCCGTTTCGTTTCGTTACAACCGTCAAAGGGCGAACACTTCTTTCTTCATCTCTCAAAGTTAGTTAACGGTGCTAAAATTTGTGATGCTTTAGAAGGACCTTTATTCATAAATGCCATTTGAAGGCTATCAAACAGTTGTCCTGTCTTAGGCGGCATTTGAAATCCAATTCATTTTTAATGAAACGCAATATTTCAATTTAGCGCGTAAAAAATATGAAGTGAAGCTTGCAATCCGAACATTTGAATTTTTATATGCAAGTAATATTATTTTAAACAAAAATTATAAATGGCTAGTGTCTCATATAAATAAATAAAATTTTTGGGCAAAACTTTCTGCGTGATCTGTCGTATCTCTATTACGCGTAATAATAACATACAAAAGAAGAATAATTAGATATTATTGCTGACCTGAGTTGAGAAAAATGGAACGAGTGTCGTGTCTTCAGAGGCAGTCAATACAGTTGATAAGGTGGTAGGGCTCCATGGCTGCTTAGGAGCACAGAAACAGTCTTATCGTCCATCCGTGTAGAGTTATGTATCACCCTCTTACATTTTTCTTAGTTTGATCAACCTGTACATTACATATCAGTGTAGTAAGAGGTGTTGAAGTCTCATAGTAATTTATACTATCCTGGTACTCTTGATGTTAAGTTAAAACAGAAATAAAATAAAAAAATTAAATTGTACTTTTTTTATAATCCTAAATCAAAATAGTTACCACTCACAACAATAAAAAAATATCACTAAATATTTATCGCTATCAGATTCGGGTACCCACGCACATGCTTTTATTATCGCCGGAATTGGTTGAATTCCTATTTAACACTTTTTTTATTTTAAATATACGATTAAGTATTAACTTGCGATCCGCACCTGCTTCGCACGGTTGATTTTTGGATCTCGACCACATCACCACCAATAGGGTATTTTACACCATGTAAAAAAAAACAAAGAATATATATTTATGGTAGATTTTGTAAAAAGTAAACGAGAAATATTGATTTCTATTTATAAAAATGCATTATAAATTTTATATTTCAATTTACAGAATATTTTTTTACCTGTGCCTCAAATCTGCAAAACGATGTCCACCATATTAGTTAGCGTCGTGACGTCACTAGGTCAAAGAACTAGGTTATGTTGTGTGTACTAACTAGCTAATTTCTAAATTTTTCAAGTTATCTTTACGATTGTTGACTTTTATTCCGAATTTTATTGAAAAGGCACCATGGAAGACGGATTCGTAAAAGCGAGTTTATTACTTCGCTTTTAGCACTAATGTTATAGATATTATAATATAAGCTTAGGTGAGAAAAACTTTTTGTTATATTTTTTTGTACAAACCCTCAGACGAAATAAAAAGTCACTTTTTTATTTGGTCTGAGTACAAACCATGTCTTTATTTCCATATAATAGAAGAAAACAGGAATTAAGTAAAACACTGCACTGCACTTGCAAGAGCTATCAAAATGGCCCACAAAGGGCGGTACAGACAAGCGATTAACCTAATCTATTACAAAATTTGACTTCCAATAGGTACCTATCATGTCATGATGTTTTATTTTGTTTAATCGATAGTTAAATATAAATGATACTTACATCAAAGTGATCTTCACAGAAGTATAGTTTAGATTTTGTAGACAATGCCTTCGGGTCTCTTCTTGCCACTTTTAACCAAGTATTTCTCATATTTAAATCAGTTGGCACTTTAATCCATAACTTCCCCGGCGTTCTTATGCTCGTATTTATGCAATCAGGCACAACACAACAATGATATAAATGATAACTCATTATTAAACATTCAAAAGTATCTTATTCCTATGCAAAATTGTCAAAATTCTACGACAGTGACGTCACGAGTTGAACAGTATGGCGGCTAGCGTTTTCACGCAAAAATTTGAAACGATAGATTAAAAGTAATTTTTATGTCACTATTCGGTTTTAAAAAAATTATATCAAGTTATAGTGGTTCATTATCACTCTAGAATTCATTTAAAACACTTTTTGAAAATGGGTGTAATACCCTATTGTAAATCAAAACCACCTGGTCGAGACATTTTTCAAGTTTTTTTTGAGACCATCGCACGGCAATTGATTTTATTTAAATACTTGTAGACATAGAATTAATTACTCTATGCTAGTAGATAAATTAATTTATAAACACATCAACATGGTATAGGGGTAATTTTAATAACATTGACCAACTAAATAATCGTAGTACTGGCTACTTAGAAGCTTTAGTATCAAATTGTACGTCATTTATTCCAGTGTGATTACAAATTTAAATAAGAGAAAAAAATCGGACGAAAAAAAAAAGCGCAGCGTCGATGAAGAGGAGCGGCGTCAAAAGTGCGAGACATCTGGTACCATAACTGCCGTTCCGAAAACTAAGTGCAGAAATTATAGCAAATGTAAGGGGTCATATATGCTAGGGTACCTGACAGGTTTACCTGCAAATCTACAGGCAAACCTGACAGGTACACGCTAGGCGTGTATGGCGTATGGCTACCTTTACGATTAAAAAAAAGAAGAGTCAATGTAACGACATTAATTTCGAATTTGATATTTACTGTTGTCAACATTATATACGAAATTACAAAACGAATAGGCACCTGCAATTGAAACCGCAAGAGTCATTTGACAAAATTATGGTTATTACAATAATAATACATAAATACATAATCACGCCAACAATACGCCAACTCATCTTTACATAGTAACAAAATAAGGTCGCTTCAAAAAAAATCTACGCAACGGATTTTGACGTGGTTTTTATCAATATACGGAATAATTCAAGAGGAAGGGTATGTATAATGCATGCATAATATTATATATTATGTGTAATTCTTGTGTCCGTGTTTATGTGACTGAACTGCTCCTAAACGTTTGACAGATTTAGATGAAATTTTATGTGTGTGATTAAATTGATTAGAGAATGGTTCAGATTCACAAAAAGGGCAGAACAACGTCTGCCTGGCCAGCTAATATATATATATATATGAGTGTGATAGAATTCATCACGCCCATTTCGTCACGTGTGAAAAAGTGAATATGGGATAAGCCAGAAAGTTCTTATGACTTCTAATATATGGTGTGTTACATCACCTATGTGTCTTGTTTACGCCAGGTGTAAAATGACCAACGATGACCAAGACCAAGGATGGGGGGGGGGCAGCGTCATGGATGAGAAACGTCGCTCCTCCTGCTAAGCGTGGCAAATGGGCGCATTTGCACGAGAGACAGTAAGTGAGGCACATATTCACCAGTGGGCCAGAAGGAGGAGAGAACCTTTTACAGACAGTGTTATAAAATTTCCATAGGTATAAGAAATTGATCCTATGCAAATTTAAATCTCTACAGTTTGTGAATAATTACAAGTACCTAGAACTAACAGTAGGCTGTTATTTTAGTTGGAAATTGTATATTTACATTTTCTGCGAAAAGTTAACATCCATAATATTTAGGCTTAATAATTACTTAATATATATAGTAAGCAGATAATCTGACATAACATTTTTTGAGATACGGATTCATTGTATAGGGACGGTAGTTTCAAACTTAGAGAGATAAAATTCTTAAGATACACAAAAAATTGTTGGTGAACAAAGAAACAAAGGAAAATACTGTATAAAAAGGAATTTTAATACATTTTTTATAGGAGAGGGAGCAAACGAGCATGCGGCTCACCTGATGGAAAATGACTACAGCCGCCCATGAACAACTGCAACACCAGGGAAATTGCAGATGCGTTGCCGGCCTTCTAAAAACGAGTAGGCTCTTTTTTTGAAAGTCCCTAAGTCTTATCGTTCCCGAAAAACCGATTCCACAAGGAAGTTGTGCGAGGGAGAAAACTTCGTCTAAATCGCACAGTGGTGGACCGCCAATCATCCAGATGGTATGGATGGTACCGCGAGTTTTGTCGCGATGTGCGATGATGAAATTGAGCGGCTGAAATCAGTCCGAACAATTCCTCAGAGCACTCCTCGTGATAGATGCGATAAAATACGCAAAGAGATGCAACATCTCTACGCAGTGCCAGTGAGTCAAGCCGTTCGGAAAGAACTCAGGCGTCGACGATTCGAACCGCTCTGCGTTGGATGCGGTCAAGTGGAAGAACCTGGCACTGGGGAGTCCTTGCCCAAAGATGGGAACAGTATTCCATGTGAGGCCGAACCTGCGCCTTGTAAAGTTGCAAGCGGTGTGCCGGCATGAAATACTGTCCCGCTCTGCTGAGCACGCCAAGTTTTTTAGAGGCCAACTTGGCCTTCTCTTCCATGTGACCACGAAACTGCACGTCACACGATATATCGACACCAAGGATTCCGATACTGGTTGAGGCAACAAGGAGAGTGTCTTGAAATAGGGGATACGACAAATGGGTTCTTTTTACCGGTAAACGCGCAAACTTGGGGGATTGAACCACACTAGATTTAGTCGACCCCAGTCTGAGACTTTGTTCAACAAAGTCTCGACTTCAGACACAAGTTTGTTCTGGTACTCAGCGACGATTCCTCGAGAAATATTGGCACGACCGCTGTATAAAGCATCACCAGTGCTGTCGTCCACATAGCAATGAATGCAACCGGTTTGCAACGTATCATTGATATGCAGAAGAAACTGCGTTGGTGATAGCACGCAGCCTTGTGGAACACCAGCGTATGGGCGACCTTGATGCTCCGATCTGCAAGAAAACTGGTGGTCCATTTACACAATTTCTCGGGAAGCCCATAGCAAGGCAGCTTCGAAAGAAGCACTTTGTGCCAAACACGATCGAAAGCCTTCGCTATGTCCTAACTAACGACCAATGCCTTCCCCTTGGATTCCACTGCCTCCGCCCATCTATGAGTCAGGTAGACCAGAAGATCACTAGCTGAGCGAACTCGATGGAAACCGTACTGGCGGTCACTAATCAGCTGGTAGTCCTTAAGGTACCGCATGAGCTGGCTGTTAATAATTGTTCCCATTACTTTGGAGAACAAGGAAGTGATAGCGATAAGCGTGTAGTTTGACGTATCTGAGTGGATGCCTTTTTTAGGGATTGGATGCATCGAAGCTGTCTTCCATTAGTTCGGGACTACGCCTAGGGAGTAAGAGTACCGAAAAAGATGCGTTAAAACCGGTGACAACTCCGAAGCACACGTCTTCAGCACAATGGGAGGGACTCCATCAGGCCCACTCGACTTGTTGACGTCCAGGGACAGGAGTTCTTTACGCACCGAGTGTGTAAACAGCACTTCCTGCATGGAGCACTCACAACGCGAGATGGTCGGCGGTGTGTGTCCCCCCCCCCCCGTCATCTAGACTCGAGTTGCAAGCAAAAAGAAAGCCTAGCAGATCGGCTTTCTCCTTTGCGTCATGGGCCAGTGAGCCGTCCACCCTGTACAGAGATGGCAGAGATGGTTGACGAAAGTTCCCTTGGACAGCCTTGGGAGGCGAACTAGTCGTAGTACAAAGTAGTAGACTTTTGAAGGACTTGGAGGCTACTTATACTTGTAATTATACTTCTTTTTAACAGCGCTGGTATTTCAGCCCAGGCCCGGTAGCACTCCTAAATATAGCGTGATGCAATTTCACAGGAGCGACCAAACCATGGCTGATTTCTGCTTCCGATAGGCACCGCAGATGATGAAATAAATAGTTCCATACCCTGAAC